GTCAGCGCCGGGATCCGTGAGCTGACTGGGCACGTAAAGTGTTACTAGATGGGTGGGGAGGGGCTGGGTTCGCAAGCTGAGGACCGCAATGCGGCCAGAGTGTGGGAGAAAATCAACGATCAGAGGAAGACGATGTGGCAGGACGTAAAATCCCACGCCCGCCATGTGCTCTGGTGTGGTGCCAGAAAGCAGCAGCTTGCCGCCTTTCACGCAACGTTCATCTGAAGCGGAAGACTTGGTCTCCTGTCGCGCCAGGATCTCAAATGAATAAGCTGTTGTGAAATCAGCCAAGCATTCTTGTTTGCCGTGACCCGTAAGGCCGTAAGGGTCTCGATATTGAAAGTCACAATATGCAGTTGATTGTGTTCGGGGCGCTAATGCAGCAAATCGAGCATGGATTGCGGCACATGGGCTCTAAAAAGATGTGCGCGTGATCCTATTGTCGGCGCCAATGTCTTGCCATAGGCTCTTTGAACTTGCGCTGGGCTGTTCATTGCCCTTTCCGGAGTAGCCGGGGGGGATAGGGTAAATTTTCCATTTCCACTGTCCCGTGAGTCTTGGATCCACTTACGGTATTGGCGTCTAGATTCAGAATGCTGCGTGCGCTTGAAACTTAGATTGTCGGCTAAGCATAGCGTGCGTTGGACACTAGCCTCGTTAATGGTGTGGCGGTTTGCGCCGTTATGTAGTCCAAAGAAGTTACGAAATAGATGTTCGGACTGGCAGTGGCCCCCGGCGTGCCGCTGGCGGCTCTCGCAGCACAGAGATGGCGGTAAAAGGTTGCGGGCTTTGCTTCCATAATATACGGAGTAGCTGCCTCGTCTGTAATACCATAGTCAAAGATGCGCTGCGCAGGAATGCGCTTTGTGATCTGCCATACCATTCCCAAGGCAGACAAGAACAGTCCTAGAGGTTTCTGGAGTATAATCAAAAGTGTGGTAAATTAAAAAGAGCAGTTACAAAGTCTACACCAATGGTTTCCCCTCAAAGCATGCAAAAGACGGTTCCTCGTTTTACGCGCGACAAACCAAGAGTTCGCAGCAGCGTCACGACGGCCCGTGGCAAAATGTGACGACTTATCCTGAACCAAAACTAGCCTCTCAGAACCCTGAACCTGAACGGCAAAAGGCTTCCGAGGGCAAAGGAAGAGAAAAGGCTGGCACTGGGGACTTGTCTTAGTCCCTCTTGTAGCACCGGGGCCCATGTAGGGCCGAAGCTTAGAGCGTGCGCCGGCCAAGGCCGGCGGCAGATTGGCAATCTGTGATTTCCCCGTGGGGATAATGGCAATCGTTGAGTTAATCGCAATTGTGTGTCCACTGCGGGACTACTTAATGGCAATCTTCTTTCTCCCTGTGAAAGTAATAATAGCAATCTGTTCTGTATTGACAATCAGCTGGCTACGTAAGTCCGGAATATGGGATAGCAGGTCGGGAAACGGGGAAACTACGGGGGTGTTCTGATTCGGGTTGGTTTGAGCCTGTTACAGCTTCAAGGAGGGCTGCTGGGGCCTCGGAGGACCCGCTGAAAAATTCCCCCCAAAGGAGGGGGAGAGAGTCAGTAAACCGAAACTACTTGAACCTAAGGGTGTCGAGTGTCCCTGTGCTGATGTTGGAACATAGCCCAGGCGGTTTTCCAGGTAAGCCAGTGAGCTCCACCCTCTGCTAGGGCTAGCATGGTGGCTTCCACAACGCTGCCTTTGTTGACATGACATGAGCTCTCCACTTGACTGCCTGGATTTCGTCATTGGTGAAGTTGGGGAGAGGTAGGATGTACTCGAGGAGTTTGACCAGTTCGTTGTTGGGGGCCTGCAGTTGTGATTGTTTCGGGTCTCGAAAAAGCCCGTAAACGGCGGCAATCTGCCAATAGATTCCATCAAAGAAAAGCGACCCAAAGCCTGCGGAAGTACCTACTCCTTTGTTGTCAAAAGGGGGGTGGCTAGAACACAGGCTTTCAGGGTGCTGTCGTATCTTCTGCTAGTGTTTGGAACAAGTCTGTTGAGGTTCGGGACCAGGCGCTGGTGAGTAACCAGTAACCATTCTAAAGGCTGTTGGGCACAGGCAAGATCGGGAGCAGGGGATCATCGGGGCATGGGAAACATCGGCCTTTCTGGCCCATTCGCCTAGCTTGTAAGGCTGAACAAAGGTATCAAAGTGCTCGTTCCAGACTTCCTTGAAGTACTGGGCAAACCAGGATGCAATATAAAGGGTAGCTTGAAGGACCGGGCCGAACAGGGGGCCCCACATGTTCACATCTGCTGTTGGGCTTGCTCCATGGAAGTCTGGCTAGCCTAGGTGGGGGAATGAGGCTGCTAAGCTCGGCTGTAAATATGCTGCTCACCCAGTATGCTGCATGTTGCTGCGGGGTGTGGTCAGAGTATTGGGTATTTGCGTAGTTGTTTTGCATTAGCTGAATAAATTGGGTAGTGACGTCGGGTGCTTGCATGATGGGGTCGAGGTCAAAGAGAACACCGTCCAATTGGAGTATCATACACTTAGTGGGTGTGGGGAGTGAGGTCCACGAGTTCTGGGCCTGCTTAGAGGACCAGTATCTACGAGTCAATTTCTTGGCAAAAGGAACAGTCTTGGGCATGACCTAACGGTTGGTTACAAAGCTGTTGGGAATTGTCGGCGCAAGGGCAAATCAAGGACTGCCATGGGACAGTATCTTTCCACATAAAGCCGGGGGGAGCTGGATGGTCTTTACAGTCCTAGGGCACAGGAGCACGTCGCACAAACAAAGACTGGCTGAATTTTACGATGCTGTGGCTGTGCTTGGTTCGAGCTGGGGGATTCGAAGAGGGGGATTGAATGAGTCCGGGAGAGGGCCCAGGAATTCCAACCGGCGCCCCAATCATCATGGTTGTCTTGATCATCATCTTTCTTCCAATTCGTCCGAGAGTCGCGGTCTCCCTCTTTCCAGGAGCCTCTGGGTTGGGTTTTGGAGTTGCCTTTCTGTCCTCCTCTCTGGGATCCACGGTGAACGCTTACTACCATTTGGGGATTCCAGGATTCTGTGCAATCGTTGCATTTGGGGGTCTGATTGCCTTTTCCGGAGCCCTTATCCGTTAGGGACCCTTTGCCGTAGTCATCATAACCCTGATCTAGGAAAGCCTGGGCTGAAGCAGAGACTTGGTCAGGGGGCAGCAGGTCGTAGCCCAGTGGAGTCTCCCAAGTCCCTTCTCGATGTCCTTGGGCGTGAACACCTTACCTGAGCCATCAGAGTCTTATTCCAGCGGAGTCCCAAAAGCAAGCAGGGTAAGAAGAATGGCGGTTCCCAAAACTCCCGACTTCCGGACTCGGAGGAGCCAAAGGAAGTCATCAACAAAAACGAATTGCCAATCAATTGAAAGAGAAAGGGAGTTGAGTAGAGGAGTCGAAGCAGCAGCGCAGCCATCCGACCCCAATAGAGCTGGGCGCTGGCCATTCCATACGTTCCCACCTTGTTGACGAAACATTCCTGCCCCAGCTTCGCTATAGCTGGAACCGCCAACCTCGCCGCAAAACCTTCATGCAGCGGTGGGCCTCAGTCACGTCGGCTTTGAGGATGAGCCATTCGGTCTCCTCATCTGGCCTTTATCGGTGGATGCTTGATTCCTCCTTCTCGTGTCCCCCGCCCCCTTCTTGTTTGGGCCCCTGCTGCCATGAGCCAGTGGATAACGTGGACACAGTCCATGACAGTCGGAGACGAAGTCTTGTCTTTGGTATTGTTCTGAATGTGCTCATTGGCACCATTCTTGGAGCCATCGAAAATTGTCCTGATTTTGTCAGTCAGATATTTCATCAATTCCTGCAAGGGGTCCCCCGGCTAATGTTGCTGACGAGCCTGGCACATATGGGGGGCAAGGAGAGGTGCCCTCCTGCGTCCTTTCTCTAGCACTCGAACCGGAAGATCCTGCGGCATCGAGCCAGTCGCCAGCCGCTCGCAAGTGCTCCTCGGTGTGGAACACTACAGCTCTCAGATCCTGGAAGCCTTCCCTGAAACTCAACCTGATCAGCTTTGATCAACGCCGCCAAGGCCAGGTCTGCAAGAAGGCGACATGCCTCTGCACCAACCTACAACTTCACCATTGGTCTGACCTTTGATGTGCAAGGCACTCAACCGTGGCGGCGTGAAGCAGGTGCTCGAAACCAAGCAGCTACCACATCGCGCAAAACAGCGCCAGCACGGGGCGTTCCTGAAAACACCAGCCACTGTGAACCCCACTGCGGCGGTGAGACCTGGTCCCCGAAGCCAGGCAGACAGCCATCGGAAAAGATGTGCTTGCATTGCTACGGAGCCTGGGTCCAGGGTACCAACAAGTGCATGCTGTGGACAAGACGCCAACCCGGTGGACATGGCACCCTGCCTGGTGGAGATGAAGATCGAGGGCAAGAGGTGGCGAATGCTATTGCGCAATTGCAGCATCACTTAAGAGCCGCCAGGACGTGGGTGCCTTTGGCCCCGGAGTCCTGGGCGACACTCCCGAGGCAGCTAAGGTCCGGGCCTCGGTGGATGTCTCAATCATGGCACGCACCCATCTGACTGGTCCACCGTGGAACTGCAACCAGCCCGTCCCGGGCCATGGTGCGGATCACACCGACCGCGGAAAAGCCATCCGGCAACGAAACCAGCCAATGGCGGCTCGGGCCCAAAGCCACCCCACCAGCATCTTGGGATGGCGTCATCAAGACGTCACAAAGCCGGCCACCGGTTCTGCCATGGCACCCGTCGCGCCACAATGCCCCAGCGAGTCCGCCCACTAATCACCTGGTCCGCATGCACAGTATCCTCATCTTCACCCAGGTTGAGGCGGGCCACGGTCTTTTGCATCTCCTCGAGCCTGGCAAAAACATCGTCCCTGGTGATGTTGTCGACGATCCCCTGCCAAAGGCACAAGAACGAGGCAGCATCGATCTCCGGCAACTGCCTTGTTGCCGCAAATTCCTCAACAACGGTCCAAGCTTCAGCGGGGGTAGCTGGCGCGGCCATGGTGCGCAAAGGCGAGCGGGAAAGTTGTTCAATCACAGAAGTGCTGTGCGCGAACACCAGTTGCTTGAGCCAAAATGGCATTCGCCATGGTGACTCAAGCGTATGCTGACATAAGGCATTGCACTGGCGCTCACTGGTTCAATTAGCCATAAGGAATTCTGGACAGCGGCTCTGCCAAAGGTTCGCACCTGTCGTAACGCAGAAATGGCAAGCTCAGTGAAGGCAGCGCTGTTCTTCGTCGCAAAACCGTTAACCTAGCGCGTGTCGAATCAAGCGAGCCGTTCGATTATGCTAAAATCAGTTTCTAGATTCAAGCATTTTCAAGCTCTAGACTGCATCCATCTCGAGAACTGCGCGGAAACTTGGCCATCCGAATTTGTCAAATGTCTCCTTGGAGAGACGTGTCAGTATTGAAATTTGTTACCACAAAGACAGTCCTGAGAGATAGAGGCGACGACGTGCTCGCATGCCAATGCTGCATAGAGCAGATCGTCCCTGAGCAAGCCACGCACCAGCAATGAAGGACTGGCCGAGCACTCAAAAGCAAACACCACCTGCTGGAATCCATCACCTCCTCGGACTGTTTTGCCCCGTGCTCCATCCTGAAGGTTGCTATGATGTAGCATTTGCCCCTCTTGGCCCATGGAATTATAAAAACGAACCTCGGCTCGGAGTCCGACCAAGCAGAACCATCATGCATGCCTCTGCTTTGCTGTGCTTCGGATTGCTTCACACTCACGACGTACTCATGTAAAACGGCGCAGCGTGCCCCCACCTCTCAGAAGCCCGGCCCATCGACGCAAGGTCTGGAAGAAAGCTGAGCTTCGCTAAGAACATCACAAGCAGTTGCGATTCGGGGAAGTGTCGGCTCTTGTCCTGGACCTTTCTTAACTCTGAACCTGTAATTTGAAATCTTCCTTTCTGAATCTCCAAACTCCGATCCTTGATTCACGTGTCAGGATGGTTGGTCCCGGAACAGAGACTCGACACCAAGACAAAGAAGGTTTTGCAGCGTGGCAGATGAACGACAGTGACGTGGCATTACGTGGGTAGTTTGCATGGACGGGCCAGGCTCGCACCGACCTCGTCCTTCTTTGCAGAGGTCCACCGAAGCATCCTGTGACTGACAGATCGGAAATCTGTCGTCACCAGGCCTGCACAACCGGTGTGGCAGAGTGTGGCAGCTGACTCCTTTAAGAGGTCGCTGTGCCTTCAAGAAGATCCGGTATGGAGCTGAAGCGGAGCGTTGCGGGCCATGTAGAAAAGTCTGACAACCTGACAGCTCTCACTGGCGCAGTGTTCGCTACAAGACTGGCCCGTGCCTGAGCCAGCTCATTACCGCCAATACGGATTGCGACTTTTCGTGCCAAGCCGGCAGCAGCGAACTGCCTCAGCTATGCCGCAGACTCTGAAGAGATAGTTCTCCCAGGTTGCACCGGAATCCGGCAACCTAAGCTGCCAACTTCGCCGCCCATCGTGATCAGGTGCAGCAAACAATAGAGAAGTTCCATGGACCATAAAGCCATACGGCACCGATTTCTGCAGCCTTGAGGCAAAATGCGTGCCTTCATCTACCAAGAACATAACTCGCACAACAGTCCTGTACAGCCACTCGTCGGAAGGAAGAAAAAGAGGAAGCCCCATTGCAAAGGCCTGGCGGGCAATGCTTTTGCTGCCAGGTCAGGACCCTTAAACTGAAGTCTGTTTGACCCGCCTCTGAGAATGCAGACATCGTTAAGTCGTTGGGGACCAGCACACCACAACGGTGAAGGGCCATGTCCTTGTTCTGACAAAAGTCTTTGGGTTGCCTGATCGGCTTCGCTGCCACGGATTGTGATGCCTCCAAGATTCGGAGTAGGGCACGAAGCCGACATCGTTTGCAAAACGAAAGTTGAGGCCGACTGCTTGGGAATTCCTGAACAAAGACTTCATTCAGGGTCAGAAACTTCACCGCAGAAGCCAACCGAGGCCGGGACTCGCGAAGGAAAGCCTGCTCGAAAGCTCAGTTCAGCGAAGCAACTGACACACACACACACAAACTCAGCGCGGCCCCGTTGCTCGTAACAACCCTAGTCCAAGCACAGTCGATGTGCAAACAACACGTTCTGCATCGTCAAAAACATCTTCAAAAAACAGACGCCTGTAGAACAGCCCGAAAGTACATTCCAGGCACTCGCGACCACAACATGGAGCGTAAGACCAACCTTGCAAGCTAGCCAATAGCAGCTGCCACGTTGTCCCTTCTTCACGGTCACATCCTGAGGCCGCCGCACATCTGTCGGCCTGCACACATGCTGCCACCAACTCTTGGCGACATCACAAAACCATGCTTTGGCAGAGAGCCACGCATCTTGGACGAAGTGACAAACGAAATTGTTGTCGAGAAATGTGTTTTGTCAAGCGCGCTGGCATGCTTTTCCTGACTTGTCCGTTACTTGTCCGTTATTTTCGCGAGGGAACGTGATCCTATCATTGAAAGAAAGGAAGCTATGGCTCTTGGCATCTCTTCGCATTGCGTGAGGGAAACCGCAGGCCGCGCGGTTCAGCATTGAAGTTGTTGCCCCTTGCGGGATGCTCTGGCAGGGGACGTCTTGCTTGACGAGGTTTACAACTGGGTTGTGATTCTCAAGAGCTTTTGGGTTTACGGTTTTGATACAAGTGGTTTTGACGAAGTTGCAGACTGATAATGTTGTGCGTGGCCACAAGACTGTTTGCCCAGGCCGGAGATTGCAAAAGTAGAAGAGCCATCTTAACAAGTCACCTCAGCGGATCTTGAGCAATTCTAGCACATGGATACGACCTGTAGAGCGTTTGCCACTATAGGCCGGCCGCAGATCATGCATCTCCTACAGCACAAAAGCTCTGCCCTTGAGCACGAACAGTGTTTCGCTCGCCCCAAGAAGCCTCCCTTGCAGCCCTTCCCACTTGTACTGCTCCACATAGAGTGCCAAGCGCTTCTGGACCTCGACAAGGATCAGTGAACATGGATGCGATGTCTTGAAGCCGAACTCACGCCTGCGGCTCAGGCATAGTGAGTTGCCAAGCCACCTGCTTGGCAGCAAAGGCCTCGGGGCTCAGTTTTGCATTCTTCTGGATCATGTGGAACCCAGCTCTCACCGCGGACTATCCGAAGACTCAGGACCAAACTTCACAGGAAAGAAAATAGCACGGTGGCCTGTGCAGGATGAAATGGTTCCTACTCCAAACGCTTTGCTAGTTACACCACGAGCTCCAACTTCTTTCTTGTCGGCCGGGTCGACTGGACCCCGACGCAGACCCTAGTTTGTCAATTCTCTTTCAAATCCCTCATCATCTGGCCCCACCTGGCTGGAGATGCCATGGTCCGCAAGAGCCCCAGCAGAGCAGTCGAAGTGCCATTTGTCTGAGCACCCAATCCATCAAGAAGGTGTCGGCCTCAGCGCCGGCCCGCCGACAGAACAAAAGACCTGCAAACAAATACTACCGCTGCGCCACGTAGCACAAAAAGCGACTCGTGCAATGCATGTATGTTGCAGCCTTGAGCGCGACTCTAGACTCTAGGCTGGAATCAGCTCTTGTTGCACACAATGCCCAACAACAAGGACGATTATGGCCAGGCATTGCTGGACTGCTTGGAATCGAGCAGTACAGGAAAGCAGCTGCAAGCAAAGCCCGATTCCGGAATCCGTGCACACCATCACAGGTTGAGTCAATCAGACAGACAACAGTGTCTTCGCCTAGGGCTGCAGCAGTGCCAAACCAACAGGCTGTGGGTGGGTTCAACGATATGCAACATTGCCTCGGTAGCAGCACAGCAGGATCCCTCCTGCCACCTGTGCAATGAGCAAGCCGCGCTCTCCGGGCTCAGTACACAGAGGACTGCTGGACCACTGCATATCCAAAATGACCGCCGTGCAGCCGAATCAGCCTCTTTCTGGAACGATACAACAGTGTGCAACACCCTGCTGTTAGGGGGCAGCACAGAGCCTGCACGAACCGGAAAAGGAGTGTCAAGCTATCGTGCAAGCTCCATTCCTGCAGGAGCTGTCTGGAGGAATGAAAGAACTGCCCCGATTCCAGAGCTTCTCCTGTTCCACATGCTCGTCAGCAAAGTCCTGAGCTTGGCTTCTGTCTGCTCCACTACCGATTTGGTTGGCCCATGACCGACCAGGCACCCTACGACGAGAGTTTGTAGAAGCTCCTCGATGGGATCCGCATCATGCCGCACCTGTGCACGTGCAGAATTAAGCATCCTGCCAGCGCTCTGGACTTCCTTCTGGCATGCATCAGGCCATGTCCCGCTCTGTGTTGGCAACCGGCTCAACATGTCATTGGGCGACGACCGTGCACGCGGGATCACAGGAAGGAGCCAAACAAAGCAGGAACATACGCTCCCGAAGCACGACTAGCAATGGGGTCGCCATGCGATGCAACTTCTGCAACTGGCCCTACTGTGCAGGTCTAATTTCACGGGCTTAAGACCGGTAGCCCGACGCTGCCACACCACGCCCAGTGAAAGAATGTCTGTAATCAGCCCCGGCCTCAGCAAATGGTAGCACTTTCGGCCACTCGCACAGGTACTGCGTCTTCGCATAGCTGGGACAAGGGTGACCGTAGAATCTTACCTCATGTTTCAAAAGTCTCTGCTGCAACACGCGTCTGCTCTCGTCCACACTGGCCTTCGGTGAAGAAGACATGCACCCCGAGCTCTGCGCCGCCTGACTCCATCAAGCTAAATGACAGGACTGATTGCTTTACCACCTTGTACCTTCTGCGCACCAAGAACTGCAGAAGCTGGCTCCAAGGAAGTCGCCTAGACAAGCTGTAAAGCAATCAATGGTCATGAAACTCTCGGTGGCAAACTTCTGCTAAGGCACTCCGTGAATCCCGAACACCTTAGCTTGGCTGCAATGTGTCCGAACGCAAAGCTGCAACAGAAGTCTTGCAATTTCAACCCCGAGTTTGAAGCACTTGGCAGCACGCTGAGAAGCAACGAGAGAAGAATGCGGCTGTAGTTCTCAACCTAGAAATGTGTCTTTCTTCACACAGGTCTCGTTGTGAGTTCGGGGTCAACGATTGGTCCTGACTTGAGGCTGCAGGCCTGAACTTCACGACTCGCAAACACCCGAGGTGCAGGTTCAGGTTAAGGAAGGTTCAGCTTAAACCTGGAGAAGGCGCGATTTCCGCGAGTTCCTGTAAAGTCTCCGAGTGCCGAGGATTTGTGTAGACAGGGATCAGCATGCACTTAAGATTTGCGGCAGACGTCAGTCACGACTTTCAACGCCAGTGATGCCCCTGTCTCCGGCTTGACAACACCATGTGTAAGTAGTTGAAGTGAGCGTTCACTGTTCCGCCAGCCCCAACAACAACTGGAACAATGAACAAAGAGAACGTCAGGGAGACATGCCACACCGATGAACGCCCGCAATGCCTGGCATTTCTTTCAGCATGTACCTTGGCGACCTTTTAATTCTGGTCTCTGCCAAGATATGCCGAGATTCAAGAATTGCCAGCACTTGGCCGACTGCGCTGGAGTCTGTGCTTCTTCAGTCAGGGGTAACAGATTAGGCAGAACTCGAAGAGTCATCAGCGATCCAAAACGCGGCAAAGCAAGAGGAGGACAAACAACGATCAAAGCACAAACCCACAAATGGAGTTGCACGGACCCTGTACGCAAAAGGCAAGCTCAAGCGAGGCTACCATGCAAACAGTGCCAAGCTCTCGAGTGGCCAAGACAGGGTACTTGTAGTCAACTGGGCTGAGCCTACTCGTTTGGGAGGAGTGCGAAGAAGATGCATTGTACCGCCGAGAATCGCCGAGATAAACCATCAACTGCCAGTTGGGAGAAAGCTTCGCAGAAGGTAAGCGGACCGAGGGTCCAGCTAAACTCCACGGTACTGTACCTTGCTGAATCTGACAGCCGCTGCAGAGGTGAGGAGCAAAACGTGGCCAATGATGTTGAGAGAGAGTCCCCTGGATTTCTCCCTGGTGATATGCGTTTGGCGCAAACCTGTGTCAGCAGCATGTTCCAAGTACCCCGAGAAAGCATCGCGAATACAGAGCTAATGCAGAACTGAGCAGGCAGGAACATGAACGACACCCCTGTCCAAATAACTTGCGCAGAGACTCAAGAGGTTCGAGATGAAGCAGATGACGCATTCCAGGTACAGGGAGCAGATCAGGACACAGAAAAGTTGCCAGGAAGAAACGACACAAGCCAGGTCGCAAAAACGTCACCTGACCAGGTTGAGCGCAAGAGACGCAGCTCGCGCAAAGCAGAATTGCCAAGGATAGAACAAACAAAGCAGCTAGATGTCAGTCAGAGCAGGAAAAGAATGAAAAAGATCTGGACGCACTAGCGATTCCGTATTGGCAAATCCTAAACTCACACCTCGACTTTTCTAACTCGTTTCACCTGACTGTGTGACATACCAGCCGCAAAGACACGGCAAAATGGATCGCAAATTGACGGAGGAACACCTGGCATGCATGCAAGAGCCTTTGGCCGCAAACGAACCTGAGTCAAAGCAGGTAGTGCTTGCCTGATTGTCCCAAGTAGGGCCTATGATAGGACTCAACTGTTACAATTTGCGAATTGACAACCGCATCCGTTTCCTTATTTGTCGCACGTTGCCGGTAGCACGCATGTTGAGTCAGATTTCCAGCTTGCATGCACTGACCATTCCAAAGGAGGCACAGAAGGCTATGCTCAAAAGGCGTAGTCTTGCATTCCAAGCAACCGCCAGGTCGGGGAGTGCCAGTGAACACAAAGACCCAAGCCCACGTTCGGGCAAGGCCTCAAATGCTGTCGAAATGCTCCACCTTCTGAGAATAGTGACCCAGTCCTGCCTTAGGAGGGCTGCCCACGTTTAGCAATCGCAGCCGCGAGAACCGCACGAAGCGAGGCCGCTCTGACTTCGCCAGTTCCAAATTCCTCACTGCACCGCCGTTTCGTAAGCGTGAACTCAGGACTAGCCTGACTAGCCTTGCACCACTGCTGAAACAAGGTGCAACTCCACGTCAATGCTCCGGACAGGCCAAGAAGTGGATTCCATGAAATCAAAAAGCTGCTCGCCGCCTGCCAGGATATCCATGGCCCCCGGGCCGCTTCCTCCCACTACGTCTGCCGTCCTGCCGTTGCTCCCAACAACCAGAGGACCAGTTGAAGATGCCGATCAGCATCCTCCCGAAGGACATGCCGTCGCTCACTGCAGCGTCGTGTTTCACATAGGGTTACAAACTGATCAAAATCGGTTATTGACGAAGCAATCTTCCGTTAAGCGAGAACGAGAGGAGGGTTGCAAAGTGCATCAATACAGGTGCGACACTAACATCCAAAACTCTGTCATACTTGGTCCAGGTTGGATCTAGGTGCAATGGTGTGTGCGTGAAACCGTCACACTGATTAATTCTCGTGTCTCACTCGGATCGGTGCACTGGTCGACTAAACATAAAGACGACCTGTCACGTGCTGACCTCGTGATTTTTTAATCCCTGACTCTTAGGATTGGACCTCGTTCCGTGGAACAGCATGACGGTATGCAACGAAGAGTGCTGTCACCAAGCCGTACAAGCCTCGGCTGAGTTGGACGAGTGAGCGAACCACATCATGCAATATCGACCCAACATCGACACGCCAAGCAGCATACATGACCCCTGGCAGGCCCCCTCTGATTGCGGATCAGCCAGCCGTCACCAGCAGCACCGGAGGCCATGACCCGCTTCTAAAGCCATGCCACCAGAACACTGCACCAATGACAACAGGCCTGAAGATCAGGTGGCAGCAGTGGAACTTCTTGCTTGCTGTCATAAGTGCGAAACGACCTACAGGATTTTGCAGTCAGGATTTTTGAAGATGACAGATAAAGCCAATTCGGTGCTCTAGGTTGTTAAACCCAAGCAGCTCCCAAACCGCTCCAGCTGGGTGTACCCAGGATCGACCAGTGCTCACATCGTCGAATCGCTCCTGTCATTGCTCGTGCTGGCTCTTTCCATTTGCGAGATCTCGCTCCAGCAGATTGGCTGCCGCCAGCGCCAGCTCTGGATCCAGTGGCCTGCACTCTATAGGAAGCTGGCCCACTAGTCCGCTACAGTCCGCTACAGTCCGCTAGTCGGCCCGCTAGGGTGAAGCGACCGAGCTTGGCCATCGGCCAGCCGTTTTGAGCGCTGGAGCTGGCCAGCCTGTCGACGCCACACCAACATGGCAACAAATTTGTGGGCAATCTTGTGAATCAACACAGCAGGCATTTCAGCTCGAGCTGAGGGGTGCAGTTTCTATCTTGCCAGTCCACCGCCCAGGCGTGCTCTCCAAGCTAGGAAATGTCAGGCTGCTGTTCACTGCGCCCTCATTCTGGGTCTGGGATTGGTTGACGTTTTTTTATTGTGTTCCATTTCGAAGTGCTTCACTCGATCAGTGCATGCGTCTCGTCTTGCTCTTCTTTGGTGGGTGGCTAGGACACCAGATCACAAGCTTTCAGCATTTCTGGCGTTTTGCAGAAGAAGAAAGTGCCAAAGGAGCCGGCCTGACACAGACAGTTGAGGCGGAAACGCACTGCTGCCAGATCCACTCTAAGAAGTTTCCTGAGTGCACCAGAACAGTACGCCCGCATCAGAAGAGGTCCAGAAAGCAATAGACCTCCTACGGACACACAATTCCTCTCGGAGTTGCCAAGCAGGGCGCCGGCAGTTCTGGACGAAAAGGATTGGGTGCAGGAGACCGGCACAAGCGGAGAGTGCCAAACAAACAGAACCACGGCGACAGAGGCTTGGTGGTGCCCGTTCTGCAAGAGGACCAACAGTCCAAAGGCGGAGCAGCCTGGCCCCAAAGGAGGTGGAAAAGGTCCAAGGTGACAGCCGACATAGCAAGTGTCTCGATAGCATCAATGCCGTCATCAGATGCATCAGGTGCCGAAGGGCAGTTGGCAGCGCTGATACCTGCATTAGGCCCACACCACGAAACACTGCCAGAGTCTGTGAGAGGCTTGATCAAAGCACATCAGGAATGGAATGCTTTGACCGCTCTGCGCAGCAGACGCTCGAGTGTCTCCAAGGTTGGGAGAAGTACGTGACAAAACTTGGGGCCCTGGGGACACCTTACAAAAGCAATGTGCGCAGAAGGAGGAAGCAGTGAAAGGCATGATGGTGGAAGAAACTGCATTACAGGACACGACCAAGCCAGGGCTACTTTCTTGTTAATCGCAGGCAAGGAGCTCCCAGCAGACATGGACGTGGCGGAAACAGCCGAAGCACAACAGGATGCTTTTGTCGAGGAAAGTGGACATGTGAGGCAGAAGGAAGAAGCTTTGGTAGAGATATCAAAAAGTGTGCGCACGGACGCCGCCAGGGAGGGTCGCCTCGAGGGTTCCAGACCAAGAAGGAATGCACGCACAGACGAGATCGAAAGCATTTCTTCGGGCGATGGGGCGAAACCTTTTTTTCCCTAGGCCTGGGTTTGAGCTTCTCGAGTCTACGCAGGCCTACAGAGACCCACATCGTACACTCCATATGTCGAGAAAGTGACTTCGTGGAGCCACGCTTTGCAGAAGCTATGCCGTATATTGCCGTGCATACGGTCTTCGCCCTCAGAGCGGCAGAGGTCGGAATTATCACAGCAGAAATGGACACGCGGATAAAGGCCATGGATACTTGGCATAGACAAATTGAACGATCTGGCACTTTCATGAATGACTCTGGGCATGTCTGGTCAGCAGCGTGCACATGTCAGCCGCACACTGGCGAGACACGCGTAGAGATTGAGCTCAAAGGCTGTCATCAGGCTCTGCGCGGATGTTAAAAGAAGAAACACCATGCGGGGAGTGGGGAGACCATACCTATCTGCTAACAAAGTCCGTTTTTGCAGCTTTGTACAGACATTCACACGTGCTGGGGAGTCTTTGCTTGAATCTTTGAAGGACAAAGGACAGAACAACGGATGCTTCGATCTTGACGCCGCTGTGTCTTGCTGTCGAGCTTGTCCCCCACCTCGAGTACATCATAGTCCATGCTGACAGCTGCAGCAAGGACATTGGCGTCGAACTTAGTTACGGCGCTGGAAAGACTGAAGCTCTCTGTTTCTTTGTCAATGTGTGCATCGTTGACAGCTACGTGCAACTTGGCGGCCGCGTCGACCACAGCGGTGCATGTTTGAGTGACAATGCCGGCAGGAGGCAGGTGCGTGAACATGTTTTCCAAAGATTGCGAGCTACGCTTTTGCAGAACTGGCGAGTTGACGGCCATGGAAAAAAGAACCTCTGGCTTTCTTTGATCGTGCGTAAATGCTGCGTCGGAGCGGGGCAGTGGATGCTGAAGACACATAGGCGTTCAGAGCTGCGGTTTTCTACAGAGGTTCTTGTTGAGCTGTTGCTGGCTGCAGCTCAAAGTTGCTGAAAGATGAAGAAGTGTGTGCAGCGATGTGTGTACCTGAGCCTCCAGATGTCATTATTGTTTGCGACATGTGCGCATGTTGATGGGAGGTGACTGCGCATGGGCCAAGTTTCCTCTGGGATGCACTTGTTGCGGAAGGCACATGGTTGCGAAAGGCGGTTGAAGCATTGAGCTGTGTCTTGGAGTGCATTGAGACTGATACTTCTCGGCATTCCCGGAGGTAACGCAGAAACGCTCCGAGCATTGCAATTCAAGAGCTTGAAGTGAAGGGATGCGTCATTGTTTCCTTGCCGCCGCCGTGCAGTGCCGTGCAGTACTGGGCCTTGGACATGTGCTGAGTGTGGCAGAAGTTGCCGTACAAAAGCAGTGCTTGCGGCGCCTAAGTCCAATCAGCATGGCATTAGGGCCTTGCGAGTTGAATTCGAATGTGCGTCACCTTTTCCAACAACAGAAGATAAGAAGAAGAACCAACGCAGCAGGACGGCTACACCAAACATGGGCCTGAGCCCCGGCTATGCCAAGAAGTACCGTACTGCAAAGTGTCGGTCAGACAGAATCTGAGCATGTGCACGTGCGGCAACAGTCGGCTGATATCCAGCAACTTTGCCTTCTGAAAGCCGTCCATGTTGAGCTGAAGCCTGCTTCCTGGCACCACAACTCCACAAACGTCTTGCTGGAAAATTATCCAGAACGGAGATGCTTGCGAAAGGATGATGACATGCGACGCCTCCGAACACTCCAGGAAGCCGGGCGTTGCCAGCCTAGAAGATTCGGAGGCATGGCGCTGACAGCTGTTCGTGATGCATTTCCCCCCGCCTGATTTCGACAGCTTGCGCTGCTTGCAGCACTCCCACAAGGGTGCTGAGCACTATTCCCAGCATTCCATGTAAGCGACATGATTGTGCCGCAACGACTATTCTGCAAGCTCTCACAGGAGAACAGGTCTGACAGTTCAATGCCGGTCAGAGCTGACAGAATGACACATGCATGCTTGCCCTACCTGCATGGAAAACATGTTGCCAGAAGCGTCGCACAAAATCGGTTGCATGCACAACATGTCCGCAAGCAACACGGAACAAAGCCAAGTTGCTCTCTACAGTATGTTACCAGTAGCGGATTCATCGCGAACTAAGAGCAAAGTCGACACGATAGTGTCGAAAGTTCAAAGTCATATATACGCTCCACAGATCTCCACGGCTCTGCTACGACGTGGAAGCATTCCTCACCCAACATATGCATCTTTTGTTTTGCAACTGCCTAAAGAAACATCAACAAAATCCCAAACAGAACAATCCAACACAGAACCGAAGGACATTGGGCACCCCTTCGAAGCCAAAGCAAGGGCAACAAATCGAACATTTTAGCATTGGGGCACCACTTTGAGACCAAATTAACGGCAACGAATCACCCTCCAAAAACCAACCAATTCCACATGCCTGATTCAGATGCATCAGCCTAAAAACAACGGCATGCGAAACACATAAGTTTCTCAGCCACGCAAACACTCACAACCTCCGACGGCACATCCTCAAAAGCAACAACAAGACTGTTGGATCTTAGCTTCACACGATGTCTAAGTTAAACTTCTAGCTCGCGTGTTGCTCTTCACTCTCAAAGCGGTTCTACGTGCGTCCCAAACGGATCTGCACGCTCCACTACCACGAAAAAAGACCGAACGACAGTCTGGAGTTCAACAAACCCTGGCAAAGCACTGCTTCGCAACGCTCGGAGCCTTCGTTTTGCTCACGCGACACGCTAGAAACATCTCTGTTGGGCGCTTAATGCTAAGTAAAATCTTTGCCATGGCTTTCCATCTGCTTAGATGCACACGACGTGCACAAGTCCCAAATCCCTGCGTGTTTGAATGGCGAAGCATGTCCAGCGCGGCCCGCAAGGCGAATACCGAAAGCAAGTCCTCAAAGCGGAGCTGGTGAAGCACCATGGCAAGCACAGCGCAGCGCATCTACAAACACCGTTCCCAGCGTCTGCAGCTGCAACATCGAGGTTGGCTTTATTGAAGTGGTTCTTCTCCACGGGGTTAGGTTCGGAAACTTCAACCCTCCTGCAGCGGAGTTCGGGAAAACCTTCCAACCTGCAGACGGACGTTCAACCTGCAGACGGATTCGACCCCAACCTGTGGGCCGGATTTGGGCAAAAACTCCAACCTATGAACCGGAATTGGGGTTCGGGTTGACTGCAATCCGAACGTGCGGACCGGGTTTGGGTTCGAACCCAACTCCGACCCGCGGAGCGAGGGTTGGGGTTTGGGCCAACCCCCTTACCCCAACGAGGGTTGGCGCTGAAGGGAGGAAGGCTTCAAAGGCTTCGAAGGGTGAGGGTGAGGCTTCGAAGGCTTCGAATTTGAGAAGCCTTCGAAGGCTTTGAAGGGTGAGAAAGGCTTCGAAACCTTCGAAGGGTGAGGACAAAGGCTTCAAAGGTTTCGGGTGAGGACGAATGCTTCAAAGGCTTCCTCTTTGAACGTGTACTATGCACTTGACTCGATGCACTTCACTCCCGCGTGCTATTCACTCTGTACTCTGCAGTTGACTCGTGTTCCATGCTCGAATGCACTTTACTCGATGTACTTCTGATCTGCTTCACTCGGTGTACCATGCACTCTGTGCACTCTGCACTTATTTTGCTTTGCACTCGAATCGATGTTTAATACGGTGTCTGATCCTTGTGTATTTGATCCTTGTACCTTCTCTGAAGGGCTCTGCACGGAAGAACCCTTCGCGATGCTTTCGGGAAATGACACTTGTCTGCATTCCTGATGTCGCGTACGGTTTGGAGTCAAACTCGAACCCAACCCAAGAAGAAACGTCACAGGAAAACACAAAATCGTTCCTCTCTCTCAGGGGAAAGCCTCC